CACAGTTTAAAACACTGGTCATCAGGATCCTCACAGATCTGGTTGATTATAGCCACAAATTAGAGAAACATATGAAGGCTAAACTAATGGAAATGAATGGAATTCCACAGGAAACCCACAGCGATGAAAAGGAAACTGGGACTCAAATCAATGGAGTGGACCAGAAGAAAGCAAATAATGGCCAAACAGAAAAGAGTCAAGGAGCAAGAATTCAAAGAAATGAGGAGAGTCTTAGGAACCTCCAGGACATCTTTAAACGCTCCAACATTCAAATTATAGGGGTACCAGAAGGGGGAAAGGAACAGCCACCAGTAGAAAACTTATTTGAACAAATAATAAAAGAAAATTTCCCCAATCTGGCAAAGGAAATAGACTTCCAAGAAATCCAAGAAGCTCAGAGAGTACCAAAAAAGTTGAACCCAAGAAGAAACACACCAAGGCACATCATGATTACATTAGCCAAAATTAAAATGAAGGAGAGAATCCTAGAAGCAGCAAGAGCTAAGGGGACAATCACCTACAAAGGAGTCCCCATCAGACTGTCAGCAGATTTCTCAAAAGAGACCTTACAGGCAAGAAGGGGCTGGAAAGAAATATTCCAAGTCATGAAATCTAAAGACCTACAACCAAGATTGCTCTATCCAGCAAAACTTTCATTTAGAATGGAAGGACAGATAAGGTGCTTCTCAGATAAGATCAAATTCAAGGAGTTCATCATCACCAAGCCCTTAGTATATGAAATGTTAAAGGGACTTATCTAAGAAAAAGAAGTTAAAGAAACATGAACAGTGAAAGAACAACAAGCTCACAGTTATTAACAACCACACCTAAAACGAAAGCAAACTAAAAGGACAGCTAGATCAGGAGTGGAAACATAGAAATGAAGATCTCAAGGAGGGTTAGCAACAGGGGAGTGGGAGGAGGAGATGGGGGGAGAAGGTACAGAAAATAAGTAGCATAGACAGTAGATAGAAAATAGATGGGGGGGGCAAGAATAGCATGGGAAATATAGAACCTAAAGGACTTGAGACACATGGACATAAACTAAAGGGGGGTAATGGTGGGGATGGGGGGGCAGGGTGGAGGGGAATGAAGGGGGGAATAGAACAACTGTAACAGCATAATCAATTTAAAAAATAAATTAAAAAATAAAATAAAATAAAATAAAAATAAAAATTAGGTGATTCTACATGGGAACGGCATTTATTTCCTCTCTTGAAAACTTGGAAAAATAGACAATATAAAAGGCCTATTTTTGCGTAGTCATTTAGATTATTGCATAGTCTAGAATAGTCTAGAGCTATTAGATTAAGCTTGCTGCACTTGTCTATCCGGTCTGTTCTACTCACTTTGTAATCTATTTGACCCCTTGGTATTTGAGAAGCTACTACTTAATATTCATGGTTCCTGCAATGTATAAATAAAGTTATTTTTGTATACTTTATACAAAAATTAATGTTACCTTAATTTTCTTCTAATAAATCTCTAGTTGATTACTGGGGTTTATTAGGATAACAATGATATAGTCTATGAATATCTATAATTTTGCTTCTTTTAATTTGTTTTGATTTGGTAGTCAGAATTAGAGATAGTTTTTAATAGGAAAAATCATGAGTTTATGTTTATACTTCCAATTTGAAACTTGGATTGCAGCATTCTTAACATTTTTAATTTTATAGCTGACTTAAGTTTTGTTATACAAGAAAGTTTTGTTTCTAAATGTACTAATAATTACACATTTGCTTTATCCTATACCATCCACATTTTATTTTAAAGTAAATAATAACAATATAACTATGAAAAATACCAAGTACAGATTAAAATATCTTTTTAAAAAAATATCTTTATAGTTCTTTTTGTTCTTGTATTACTACATGGATATATCATTAAAACACAGATTAGAGTCACTTAATATAATTTTTCTGTATGCGTGGTTATTAACCTGATGGACAGTTAAACTTGTTTTAGCTTGTTTTCAATTTCAGAGGATTCCTTTTTTTATAAATTATTATTTAATTATGCAAATAATTTTCATGATTCCAGTTAAAACTCTATACCAAGATACATTCTCCGAAGCTTCACTTCCATTTTGACTTTTCCACACTGTTTTTTTCTCTCACCAAGAAGTAGCCATTTAAATTAAATTAATGAATAATAAAGTTAATTAACTTTAGATTTTATTTTTAACTAAGATGATATGTATATATAAATTTATATTTACATGTCTGTGTATACGTATGTGTGTATATATGTTATACCTACTAGTAATACCATTTTTAAGGTGTCTCAGGACCACAGATTCTAATAACTTATATGTAACATGGCCCCTACAGGCAAAGACATACAGTTATGGCATTTCCATAACACTTTTCACCCATCTCCGTGATAAAACAAACTAAGTTTTTGCTTAGTTTCTACCTCTTCAACTATTCTGTAAGCAGTGATATGCAGGGGCAGAATCTGAATTAACCATGTTACCTCATATCCCAGCAAAGCGGTAGGTGCCTAGTGTGTGGTCTTAGATAATTTGCAGACGAAGCGATTCCCATGAAAGGTTCCCCTGACTAACTTCAAGCCCAGTTTAAAGATCAATGCTCAGAACTTGCTTTTGAGCCTGTATCTTAATTTCTAGCATGGGATTTTCAGTCCTGTTTTCTCAGGTTCAGTACAAACATTTTGTGAACTAGTTATGTTTTCTTTCTTACTATTTTTACTTTCTGTGCTGGGTTGTGAAACCCTTCCTGTTGCTGCTTAAAATAGAACTTTCCAAATGAGTGACTTGGCTTCCTGCCACTCCTAACTCCCCCTGGGGAGGGGTAGGTTCATACAGAGTAAGTGGATCACAGCCTACAAATCACGCAGGAGATCTTGTGAAAACGCAGGTTTTTATTTAGCAGATAATGCCTGAGATTCCACTTTTCTAAAAACTGCCAGGGGATGCCAGTGCCACTGATTTGAGGGCCATCTTTTGAGTAGCACAGGAGTAGATGACTCACTTCACAAACTCATTCATTCTTAAACATTATTTAATTTTACTATGTGCAAAGCACTGGGCTAAGAAACTAAAGAGGACTGTGACATAACCGTTGCCCACAAGAAGCCCACAGTCTAATCACAGTCTAATGTGTCAGCAAACACAGTAAGAAAAAAATACTCTAATAGGAGCATTAACACGATGAGAAGACAAGCCATAGACGGAGAGAAAATATATGCAAACGAGGTGTTTAATAAAGGATTGGTATCCAAACTATACCAAGAACTCTTGAAACTCAACTATTCAAAAGCAAACAACCATATCAAAAATTAGGCCAAAGACCGTAACAGACACTTCGCCAAGTATATACACAGATGTCTAATAAACATGAAAAGATGTCAACATCACATAATACCAGGAAATTCCAAACTAAGACAATGAGAAACCACTACACCTGTTAGAATGGACAACACCCAAAACACTGCCATCGAACACTGGTGAGGATGTGGAGCAACGGGAAGCCTTCGTATATTTCCCTTCGATGGGAAAGTGAGATGACGCAGCCAGTTTGGAAAGCAATTTACCGGTTTCTTAGAAAATTAAACATGCTCTTATCAGGCAATCCAACAATCGGCTTTCTTGGTATTTGCTCAAATGCGTTGAAACTTATGTCTATAGAAAAACCTGCCCACAGGTGATTGTAGCAGCTTTATTCACAATTGCCCACATTTGAAACAACCAAGATGTGATTCAGTAGGTGACTGGATACATAAACCGTAGCACATCCAGACAATGGAATAGTTTTCAGTGCTAAAAATAATATCAAAAGACTAGATACAGTGTGGTGTGCCAGTTACTTGACATTCTGGAAATGGCAAAACTCTGGAGACAGTAAAAGGATCAGTGGTTGCCAAGTGTTCGGAAGGAGGAAGGATGAATAGGTGGGGCACAGAAGATTTTCTCGGCAGTGAAACTTTCTGTACATTATTATAATAAAGGGTACATGTCTCTATACACTTGTCAAAACCCATAGAATACAGCAAGAGCACATCTTACTGTCAACCATGGACTTGGGATCCTAATGATGTGTCAACATGGTTTACTGATTGGGACAAATGTGCCACAGTGGCCCACAATGTTGATGATGAGGGAAGCTGTGCGTGTGTGGGATCAGGGCATATGTGGAAATTCTATGTATTTTCTGTTGAGCAAACCTGAACCTAAAACTACCTTTTTAAAAAGTGTATATATACAGATGGATAGATATGATCAGGCCAGAGGATCAATTCTGGGACCTAGACAGATTATTTTACACACATACACACTATATATATATAATACATACATACATATATATATATATATATATATATATATATATATATATATATGCTTTTTTAAAAAAAAGTGTTTGGGTGTAAAGACAAGTAGTTGTCTGGATGGCCAGTCCAACTCTGAAAGAAAGCCCCTCCTCTGGAGGTCAGGACCCTCCCCCCAATTAATAAGTGCTAGTGGGAGACGATGAGCAGTAGTGAGCAAGAGGGGCCCCCTTCTGAGGCTCTCCATACTCTTCCCTCCAAAAAGTCTTTTACTGGAGCCGCTGGTGGGGTTCTGTATCAGCGGCATCTCGCTCTTGTCTCATGTCCATACTGAATGAGCCTCTGCACTGAGAAACCTATATTCAAATGATCTGGGGTGCCTTTTAATGGTGAGGATTGTACAGCCATATGCTGAATCTCCTGACTCACGATTTCAGAGTGCTGGGAGTTGGTAATCTGCAACTTATCCAGTTTTTCAAGTTATGTTTATGTGACATAAGGTTTGAGAATCACTCTTCTATTTCACGCCCATGTGCTTTTTTGGTATAAAAGTCAACATCAAATAGATTCAAAATAAGTTTTAATGCCTTTACCTTCTTATTGGAATCAACAAGCTGAAAATTCATGAAAAGCCATTAAATTACATAATCTTTTTCTCATATTTTATAATGAAATAAGCCATGTAAGTAACATAGAAATAGATTTATTTGTGAAATACATATATAACTCTGATAACTTTTAAGAGGAAATACATAAATGATTTGTGATTTTGGAAGCATTGTACAAATATAAGTATAAATCATTAACAGATGAAATAATTATCAACATTACAGTAATACATGCTCCAAATATTGTCAAGAGTAAACAAAAATATATATATATTTTTAATTCACTTTAAAGGAACTGTTCAACTTTGCATATTTATCTGATAAGGACAGCTACATGTATCCTCCCATACTTCCTGTCTCTATTTTTAAGAATACCATGGGCAGTTCATTTATCTCTTGTACATTAAGTTTTCTGTAAATGCAGCTTGGCTGAAAAGACCTACCTAGAACTGGTTGCCTGAAATCCTAGGAGTAAGGATGTCATACTGGGTAGATAATAACGACTCTGAAACAATACTCGCCACCCCGATCCAGGGGTCAAAATCTTATAGTCAGTGTTACATAAGAAATGTTCAGTCGCAAAATCTGTTTTGTCTTTTTGGGACAAAAACTTTTATGGGATGTCATACTCCAATCCCTATAATTTCATACATTATTTTAATAAACTTCTTTTAATGACTCACTTGCTCTGGTATTTTGAGCTTAGAGCAAACCGAAATGGTCTGTTGATTTTGTCAGTTTCTCTTTTACCATTTCTGTAAGTCCCCACCCTTCCTCCTAGATGCTGACACACACACACACACACACACACACACACCCTTCACATTCATTTGTACAGCAGCTCATGTATTTGTTAAAATGGATTCTAACCTCTGCTATCCACGTTGTATAAGACCCATTGCATTACTTAGTAGCAGCACCTGACAACCCTAATAGCCTCAAACTGTTGAATGAAGTTGCAGGCTATTTTTGAAATAATTAGACTCAAGTACTCTGGAAAACTGAAACATATTCTTGCTATACTTTTAAGTGGGTGCAACCTCAATATTTAAAACAAATGGTTATCAAATTGTACTACTTCACTATGTATGATTTGCCCTGATTCCTTAGTAAAGAAAACAGCAAGATATAGATGTTGTGAATGAAAATACATTGAACCATACTGGCCAACTAAATATTCAGTAGTTCTCTCCATTCCATCCATTGTGCTTTTAATTTGACATCAGGTCAACCAAGAAGCAGTTTAAACCACCAAACCTGCCTGATGATAACTATCCTCACTGATTTTTACGTTTATTCAGACACCCACAAGTATAGTAGTTCAGCAGCATTATGTCAATCCATATGTTTTAGTCTATCCAACCCAAAGAGAGTCACCACGTTGTTTATAAATGCATCATGCACTAATTGCTCCATTACCACAGATATCTGTCTGTGATCTAACTGGCAGATATAAACATTTGCTTCTCAGGCATGGGGAGCATCTACCCCCACCTTGTTGGTATATTCCACATCTTTATTACACGATTTATTCTTTCCACTCTTTTCTTATGTTCACAAGTCTAAAATTATTTCTCTTTACAGTTAAGAAACCCCAACATTATATCATTAGAGAGAATTTTTTATTATCAAATATTAACTGGAATAAACATATTATCATTACCATATTTATGGTTAATTGGTTAAATTGGTTCATTCTTTTTCAAGAATATACTAAACTTATCCAGATAGCATCTCTCTTCCCTACATACCTTTCTGATAGTTCCAAAGAAAGTATTGACTTCATATATTGGGTGAAATGTAACTAAGTTTAAATGTTCTACCACCCTGCTATTCATGATACCACTCAGTTTTGGAGAGGAGATTTTGTTGCTCACAGCAATAACATAAAATGTTCCAAAAGAATTTTCTGTGAGAAATTTTAGTTATTTGTCCTAAGGACCCTTAAGACCCAAGCACCAACATGAATGCCCTTGAAGTGAAACTTCTCAGGGTCCAGGAATATGATCTTACATTCTGTAGGTCTCAGGTAATGGTACCTACAGGCAGATCGTCCAGGGATCGCTGGTGGGAGGTCGGGACTAGGTTGAACTCCGCACACATATGGCTGCATATTCTGTAGGTGCTTCTTTCACATTTCTGGCCTGTCTTGCGTTCATTTTAACGATGGAGTGGTTCAGCGAAGCATACACAATGCTCTGTTTGTTTTCCTCCAGACATGGGTTAGCATAGACCCCAGGCTCCTCCTGTACCCCAAACCAGGGATCATTATCATAAACTTCAGTCTCTAATGGCAGGTTTGGGGAAGTCTGCCTGGTGCCCACTTCAGTTTGCTCACTCTTAGAGGGCTGAGGAACGTCAGCCTGCAAGAGGAAGAAAATTGCTTTAATGATCATTTAAAGATGTGATGGTGCATACTTATTAGCAAACTATGAGTACAGGCTAAATTGAGTCCTTATACATGGAGAGAATTAATCGACTTTTCCTCACATATGCTGTTGATATCTTTTTTTTTCTTAGCAAATTTTCACTTATTAAAGGATGAAAGGCTTAAGGACCACTATGTTCCTCCAACATAGTTATTTTGTGCCTTATTATTAGTCACTTTTGAGGTCATAGAACACTTTTAAATCCCTCTTCAAGATGAAAAGCACAGCCAAATTGATGAGGAAAGCACAAATATTCTACAAGAACTCCAGGCATCCTGCAACATAGTGAATAGTGTTAACACAGTTTAGAGTGTAACCATTAAAGACAAAGCAGAACAGATACCCTCTAAGGGAGCAGAAAGAATAAATATTAGGAGTTATCAAAGATATAGTATTATGATTTGAGACCCGGAATTAGAAAATTGTTGTTGTGTTTGAGGGGGAGCAAAACTTAGAAAAAGTAACAAAAAAGCAAAAAAACTGAAAGTAAAATGGTCCTGAAGTTTTTCACTCTTTTCAGTTATCTGTTTGTCATTCCTAGTTGTTCAAGGGGACTCAACTGGTAAAAATGAAGATGTGGTGTTCTTTCAAGTTTTTAAATTGCAATTTTGCCAAATTATGCTCTTGAAGTTTGGCCTAACTGCTCTTAGGTACCAGGTGCACGGCCTTGGATAGCCCACCTGCCTCATCTGGCCTTTGGCCGTTCTTACGGCGGCGTGCAGCGGAGAGTCCACGTCTCCCGAGCAGGTTCTACCGCACAGGCATACCTGGGCCTGTCCGAGAAGCTAGGTATTAACTGCCGGGTACACTACTTCCTTCTGAGAAGGTGTCTTCCCTGGAAATAAGGCTAAGACTAGATGACGGAGGGAGTTGGAGATTGTTTTAAACATCCCCCTCTTGGCTCAGATAGAAAGTGTTTCAGCCGCCACTCAGACGAGCCTGGATAAAGCCTCTGGAGGAGCAATGAAGAAGACTGTCGTGTGACCTAATAAAGAGTCATAAATCCTTGATATGTCGACAAAGTCTCTGTTGTATTTTTCAATCTGTGTCTGTCAACCCACTTAACCTGGCTTCTTCCCAAAAGATGGCTCACTTCCACGGAAAACTGTTACAATGAATGGGGTGAAACTAACGTGGTGCTCTGCGGCTGCACTTGTCCTGTGGGCGCCTCATCAAGGTGGGTGGGCGACACAAGGCAGGTCACCGCCTGTGGCAGGCGGAGGTGGCAAACGCAGAAGCAGCTCTCCTGCTCTGCACCCGGCTGGCACCTTCCAGTTTACAACGCCCTTTTGAAAACGTGTTGAGATGTCATTCATGTACAGGGAACACTTCAGTGGTGTTTAGTATGCAAGCACGTTTAAACCCTCAAAGGACCGTTCTGGAATAAAATGAGAACTTTGGCTTTTACATGTAGCTGCCATGTTTTTACCTCTTCCCTTTTCTACTTTGGGTTTCCAGTTCACGGTTCCCACACAAGTTCCTTCACACAAAATTTTTACTCAGTCTCAAAGATCTAATGTGGCATCTTTTCTATGTCTTTTGAAATGTTTGATGACTCAAATGGGGCAAAACTGTGAATTCCTGGGACAGACATGAACACCTTAAAGCAAAATCCCCAAATAGTTGCACACGCAGAAAACCCCCTCTTGAATTCAATTCCACATCATAAACACTTTGTCCAGCTTATGCAGGAAGAAATACGACTACATGTTGACTAACCTGGGCTTTACCTCTAGGATAAATTATTTACATGATTTTTTAAAAAGGTTTCATAGTTCTCAACACTGACTATAACAGAATGTGGTTTGTTGCTGTTGTTCACTATCAGAGGAAAGGAGACAGTATTTGAGAAAATTTCCCTACTTGAGGGAATAAAACCTTAGCACCCATCACAATGATGTCCACTGATGCCTACTAAAAAGTTAATACAAGTTCTTAAAGTTAACTGCATTTGGTTTGATTTAAAATTAGGCAACTGGTGAAGAATGCTGAGTGCCATTTAATACTGTACGTAGAATTATTGGCTACCTCTGCCTCTGACTTCTCTGGAACTTCCATGAAGGTCGCTGCATTGTTCTCTCTGCCCTGGTTTACTGAAATGCACACACACACACACACACACACACACACACACATCAACTTCCTGTGCAGTGCCTCATTCATGGCTGTAGTATTTGTTTGTAACTAAGGAACTCCGTAAGTTTTCTCAGGAATATATTACCTCATCTTGCATTCTTTTTTGAGTTTCAATATTTACATAATGCTGAACCCAAAAGAAATACCTGAGTGTATATTCCAAGAACTGTAGAAAAATTTGGCTCTGCCTCCAACACACCCTTCCCTTCGCCTGGAAGTTCTCTTCCTTGATGAGCCCACACACATTATGAGAAACTGTTACACGGTAACTTGGTCTGTGGTCACGCTTCATTAACTGCTGGTGTGATTTATGATGAACTCATAACTCACTTAATGAGGCTATTAATGGTTAATTCTTTCATTAACTTACGAGTTACCTTTGTGGGAATAAATGAATAGCCTGAAGTCATATAACAGGCCACGAGCAGGGCCAAGGTTTACAGCTCAGTCTCAGAATTTTCTGCTCTGAGTCAACACTGCCACCCATGCTCTCCTCAAAACTTGCTTATTTTGAGACTTATTAATCCTGAAGAATCTCTGCTGCAAATGCTGGTGGATGTCAAACAAACACATTTTTAAAGTAAGTCAACATATATAGCACTCAGAACAGTGACTGGCACATGATAAGTATTACAGAGCCTCAAATGTAAAAACATACATATATAGTAACATGATATAACATAGATTGCATTTGCTTTAACAGATACAGTGAACATACCACATGCATTTCCCTTTCTGCTGTCTCAGAAGGCTTCTTTTGTTCCCCTGGAATTCAAAACAAACAATAAGAAACCAAAAGGAGTAAAGGACAACACAATTCTTCCCCAAGTCCCTGTAAATTAGTGTCATGGTAAGAATATGGGTTGCAATCAGATTGCTGAATTGAAACTCCGTCCCTAGAGCAAATGTGGAATGCTCCCCCCATACCCACGCCCACCCACTCGAATGCCAGTGAGAGTGTTATTATTAGTTTGGCTTGTTTAGCTGTTGTGACTAGCATGGCACATACAACTCAGATTTTGCACATTCCTGATGCCCCATTTTCTTCACTAGTTCTTCACTTCTTACCCCAGAGAGCCCTCCAGCATATTCTCAGAGAAGTGGGGAGTCTCACACATCACTTTTAAAAGGTTGGAAGTCTTTGTTTGGGGACATTCTGTACTCAGTGCCAGATGCACTGCTTTCCTGTCATGTGCATGGCCAGGACCTCCTACTGCCTAGTTCCCTCTGGATGTGGTAAATAAAAGGATTTATCCTTGACTTTCTCCCAGGAGTTCTGAGAGAAGTTCCAGCGGCCCCAGAATAGGCGGTAAAACTTCAAGAAGGACCCTAGAAAGATCCTTGGAGTTGCAGATGCGGAGTTGGGGCTACAGAAGATTTCCTCAGGATCCTGAGGAGCTTCTGGGCCGCAGAAGTCCTCACCACAAAGCACCAGAGGCACTTTTGAGCAGACAAAGAGTTTCTTTGTCTAGTGTAGTTTCCATAGCTACACTGTGGTTGTTGTGCGAAACCGGATGGGAGGAGATGGCAGAGAGGAAAAAAAGAAGGAGAGGGAGAGCGGAAGTGGCTCAGACCAGAGCTGGATCAGAATTCCTCATACGTCCATCTCTTAGGTGGTTAAGTGTTCCCTCATGCCATTAAGGGAATTCTTTAAAAGCAGAAAGGAATTGGTTTTAAAAATATCATATCTCCTCTTTCATGCAAAACCCATGTTTTTTATTGTTATTGTTGGGTGAGGGTTCAGTTCAAGCATGTGGTTGTAATGGCAACAGAAAGTGCAAACATGTGAATTTCCACTGAGGACAGTGGGTGTTCGTTCCGACAAGTGCACTTGTGACTGGAATGCTACGGTGTGGCTTCGAAAAGAGAGAGAGACAGACCAACTCAAATCTGACCCACTGAGAGATTATTTCAACCTCCCTTTCAACCTCCTGAAACTTTAGAAGAGCTTCTCACACAAGCCAAAGACTGATGCGGGTAGAATGAGTAAATTCCAGCGATGTTCCCTCCTGACCACCACCCTCGGCTAGAGCCCTGTGCTGTGGAGAGCACGGCTCGCCGAGACTAGAGGACACCTGAATTAATCCATTTTGGTGGGCGTTGTCCCCCAGAAAATCATTATCCATGGTTTATTACAAAATATTAGGACAGAAAACAACAAAATGACCAAGCAAGCAAAACATAACCAGAGACATTGAAATTAAGAACACACGGACAGTAAGCAGAGGGGAGGTGGGCGGGGATAACAGGGGTAAAGAGGGGAGGGTTTTCAGGAACATGTATAAAGGACACATGGACAAAACCAAAGTGGGGTAGGATCAAGGGTGGAAAGTGGGGATGGCTGGGGTGGGGGGAGGGGTGGGGAGAGAATGGAGACAACTGCACTTAAACAACAATAAAAGAAGAGAGGGAAAACAGAAAACAACAGGAACCAACTAAAAACATATGAGTCCTGGTAACAGAGCACACATTTGTGGGAAGATGGAACCCACCTCGGTGCCTTCTCAGGCAGCAGAATAGGCAGAAACCAGTAATGAGCAGAGGCAGTCCTCCCAAAGGAACCAAACTATAAAGGATCGATTGTCTGTCCTCTGTCTTGTTTTTGGATGGTGGTCCTGAAGCATCGGTTGTATCTGAAATGTTAGTCAGTGCTAAAGACAGTTAGGAAATCTGAAATATGTTTACATTGGCAACACCCTCTGCATTAACAGAACTTGAATAAAGAAGACGCCACCCTTTGCCAGTAAGCCTTCCCCAAGAACCCTAAGCCTCAGCACTCTCACCCACTTCTTGCTTTATTGCAACAATTTTTTTCTGCCAGCTTAATCCCCTGTAAACAATATCCATATGGTTCTCAGAAAACACTTCACCACGGCCTGTCATTTACAGTGTCTTATTTAACTTTCATTGGTCACTTCAGAAAAGCAAGGAGGCCATTATTTTTATCAAGTCCCATGACTTGACAAGAGTATTAATGCTTTAAGACTTGCCTAGGGTCAGCCAGCTACTGAGCACCACTTGGGACTCAAGCCAACATCTTTCTGAACTAAATTCAAGCTCCTTTAACACAATGCCTTGTCATTGTCTCATAACTCTTAGGTATCTCCAAATACCAAATAGTTTTGGTATCTCCAGATATCTTTGATATTTTTAAACAAGGTTTGCTGGGCACACAGCTGGCACTTGTTACTTTTGATCAATGTTAATATGCATTAAGGCCCTGTTTGTCCATGATAGACTGCAACTTATTTGTGGGTCATGAAATAACTTAATAGATTACAAATTACATTAAAAAATAAAACACAACCCAGCTGGTGTGGCTCAATGGTTGAGTCCCCTGAATCAAAGAGTCACCGGTCTGATTCCCAGTCAGAGCACATGCCTGGGTTGCAGGCCAGGTCACCAGTGGAGGGTGCGCAAGAGGCAACCATACATTGATGTTCCTTTCTCTCTCTTTCTCCCTTCCCCTCTCTAAATAAAAATAAATAAATAAATAAATAAATAAATAAATAAATAAATAAATAAATAAAAGCTTTTAAAAGATAAAAATAAAATATTAAAAAACAATTAATAGAAAATATCAGAATGCATCACACATCTTTAATTTTGTACTTGTGCTATTTTTTTATGCAAGAAAGCTTTCTTTCTAAATGTGTTAATGTAATTATATATTAACTTCCCCATATGCTTGGTTTTGGGGTATAGGTTGTTGGGAGCTACTGGAACTGGGTATATGTGATTTGGAAATTCAGAGCAATAACAAACGCTGCATTATTCATGCAGCAGCTGCTGTTTAGGTTGGGTGAGCAGCTAAGTCACTGCCAAGGGTGACAGACACAGCTGTCTGGGGGAGGAGTGTGGGTAGGAATAACACTCAGGGCCTCGCAAACAAATCCATTCAATTAAGAAGACCCGGATTTTATTACTTCTCCAACCATCAAACAATCTAGTTTCCTTAATTTTATTTAACTAGATTGATACTTACTGATTAGAAGATGTTCTGAATTATTTTGAGTTTCTTCTGAAATAAAAAAAAAAAAACAAGGTAAGTATTGAATTTGGTGGTGCTAACAGTTCAGGTGTGTGTCGCAGATGTCCAGAATCAGAGCTAGTGTGTGAGATGACACCTGCGCGTGCACACTGCGAATCCAGGCATCCAGCAAAAGGCATCTGCATAACGTTTAGATGACTTTGAGATCGTGGATACAAATGAATTTCTGGGTTCATTTTGAGGCTCAAAGAGAGACTAAATAAATGCAACACAAGCTTCCTCTGCCTGCTTTGATTCCCTCTTCCCCTTTCCTTAAGTATAAGGACACAATCAGCCTGTAGGGCATCTTCTGATACCAAAAGTAATAATACGCACATTCTGTAGGTATTCCAAGTGAGCGTGAAAGGCCACAAGGAAAGAATGCTTTGGATGACATGCTGGACCCTCATTCTGAAACAAAGATTGTGTCTCACTTCCTGCCTACTCATACCACCCTCTCATTCCTGCTAAGACAATGACCACTTGTCTTTGCCAAATTCCTTGTCAGGAACTGACCCAGGGCAGATTGGGGAGGGTGGAGTTGCAGGCCGTTGTGTGTTCCAGCGACTATTCCCCAGCTCTGTCAGCTTTTTTTCTGAGACTTTGCTCCTCAAAGTGTATTTGTTTATTCTGAAAGAGCATTGCTTTCACAGAAGTATGCAAGCCCTTACTTTACCGTATCCCTGTTCTTACATAAATCAGTTCTTAATTTAAGCTTTTCCAAACAAGAATCAATAAATTAACAAACAACAAGTGTTGGCAAGATTGCAGAGAAAAGGGAACCCTCATGCACTGTCGGAAAGTCAGACTGGGGCAGCCACGGTGGAATGCAGTATGGGGTTACCTCAAAAAATTTAAATGGATCTGCCTTATGAACCAGTGACTCCACTTCTGGGGCTATATCTGAAAACACCTGAAACACTAATTCAAAAGCATATATGCACCCCTATGTTCACTCCAGCATTTTTTATGATAGCCAAGATTTAGAACCCAGTATCCATCTGTAGATGAGCGGATATAAAACTTTGGTAAAAAAATTTACAAAAGAGAACACTATTTGACTGTAAAACAAAAAAAAAAGAAATCTTACCTTTTACAACTGTATGGGCAAACCTGGAAAGTATTAAGCTAAGTGAAATAAGCCAGTCAGAGAAAGACTAACACCATGTGACTTCACTTATATATGGAATCCAGTGAACAGAATAAAGAAAATATAAACAGACTCATAGGTACAGAGAACAGACTGACAGCTGTCAGAGAGGAGAGGGCTTACTAGATGAACAAGGTGAAGGGATTAAGCAAAAACAACGACAGCACTGGTAGACACAGACAACAGTATGGAGATTACCAGAGGGAAAAGGGTGTGAGGGAGGTACGAGAGGGTAAAGGGGGATAAGTGGCGATGGAAGGAGGCTTGGCTTGGGGTGGTGAACTCACAACACAATATACAGAAGATATTATAGAACTGTACACCTGAAACCCATATAACTTTATTCCAATGTCATTCCAGTGTCATTCCAATAAATGTAAGTTTTTTAAAAAACAAATGAGAGTCAAATAGAAAAATAGGAAAATTCTCAATACTCCCTGAGAAAGATATTTTAAGGGGAGAAAATAAAACATTTTTTATTATACCTCTAAAATGTGTTTGCAAACAGCATGATTCTTAAACATAATTTCAGAGCACACTTTTCTATTCACCTTATATTTAGTTCACTGACTACTGCCAGGTAGAAGAGAAAAGGAATTTTTCTTAGACCTTTTCTCTGTTGTTTGTTTTTATCACTTCATGGAAGGAAAAGTCCACCCAGTTAAAGCCAATTCTTAAATTATTTATTTGACTTTTGAAAGAAGCAGGGGTGACCCAGAGGACTATGACACAGTGCCTGCTTCTCAGGATATAATTTTTGAGGGGATGAAAGACACAGCCACACTTTATTTCAGTACAAAGAAATATGTGATGATCGAGAGGCACAGACCTTTTTTTTTAAGTTCTATGTTTTAGTATTTTTTAAATATTTTAAATTTATTTTTAGAAAGGGGAGGGAGGGAGAAAGACAGGGAGAGAAACATCAGTGTGTGGTTGCCTCTTGCACACTCTCTACTGGGGACCTGGCCTGCAACCCAAGCATGTGCCCTAGACTGGGAATTGAACCAGTGACAGGCTAGTTCTCAGGCTGGCACTCAATCCAGTGAGCTGTACCAGCCAAGGCACAGATGTTTAATAGCATAAAAATGGATAGAAAAGAGAAATCACTTCTCCAAGGGTAAATATGAAAGTCTTCCTTAAGAGCTTGGGAAATGAGCTGGGCTTGACAGGAAAGGGGGCATAGGACAGATGAACGGGTTCTCCACATGTGGTGACAGCCACATGCCCCTTCTTGGGAAGGATCATGGTGAAGACATGGCAATGGGGTTGAGAGTTTTTATGTGGAACCCAGAAACAATCCAGAAAGGGAGGTGGAGAGGGACTGTGGAAGGCCTTGAATGCTAGTTAACAAACTTGAGCCCAATATTGTGAGTGCTAAGGTTGCTCTGCAGGGGACTCAATAAAAGAATGGCATTATGAAAGAAGTTTACTAGAAAAACTAAATGTATCAGGAAGAATTTTAGCTGAACTGGACAAAAATGGGGAAACACTAAAGACAAGGAGCCCATACAATGAACTGAGAAGGAAGAATGAAGGTCTGAGATGATCATAGAAGCTGTAGGATGAACATGGCACACAGTGGAAGGTTGTTGACAGACAAGAGTAGAAAGCCAAAGAAACGTCCTGGGGAATCTCAGTGGGAGTCTGGAGCATTAATTGACAGAATGATAAGAAAGGAAGGAGAAAAGGAAATTAGGAAGGTAGAAATCTAAAAGAGAATTTAAAAGGCCCTCAATGTTTTTAGCTTAGCTCTTAGACCTTCCTTCGGACCTCTTCATCTTTTATGCTCTTTGTCCCAGTGTGGGCCTAATAAACACATCCTCTCAGGGCACAGGGTTTTAGAGGGACTGCTACCCCCATCTCCACAAGAGAGACACATTATTAATCCTAATTTTAGCCTCACCTTGGCTCCATAGAACAGACACTTTATCAATTGTACAAGCATCTGGAGTGGTCAAGGGGTGACTCAAATGTGGGATAGACACTTGGCTAAATTCCTCTCTAATATAGAAGTGACTTGGTTCCCACAATGTAAGAATAAGTTACACAAGAAGGCTTTCTTCCAAGGAAGTTGGACTCAGTGTCACTACATTTAATTTTGTAATACATTATATTAGTATGTTATACAAATTATCTAGTAGTAGTTAATTATTTTATATTTAATAGTATAATTCATATTGACCTGGTAGTAACTTTTTTGTAAATTTTGCTTATTTTTAACATTTATTTTGCTGGTTAAAAATGCATTACTTCTTTAAAATTTCAGTATTTTATACTATCTCATTAAGTGAGTTAATAGCATAATTCTTTCCAGGAAGCATTCTTTCCAAACATCCTCAATATAAGCTTCTCCAGGTAGTCAAAGGCAATTTTTTCACTTAGCATATATTATTTAATTCATTTACAAATAAATCTTTATTGAACACCCATTATGTATCAGATACTATGTTCTCTCTTCATGGAGAAGCAAAGACATTTGAGATACAGGATCCATTCTAAACAGGTTTATAAACCAGTGTGTGGATGGTCACAAGTAATTAGCATTGGGTTTGACCCAAAATCTAATTCTGCCATCAATGTATTCTACAATTCTGTGCTTCATAGCAGAGAGTTGCAGCTAGCATGGGAATACTGTGCATTCCCTCATTGGCCTGCTTTAAAAAATGTTAAAGTGATTTAAAATTTTTAATGTCATTTAAGTGGATTCCTTCATTGGGCTGCTTTAAGGGAATTTAAAGACTGTCTCCAAAGTGTAAATCTGAAGTAATAAATTAATTAAAATCACACACACAAAATGTAAACAGCTAAGTGAATGGCATCCATACAAGAAGTAACTATCAAATTTCTCTTTTGCAATAACCTTCAGTGTCATTTTCTGCTCACAAAACATTATACCCTAAGAACCCCAAAACACCAATCCAAAAGATCCTATGCACCCCAATATTCATAGCAGCACAATTTACAATAGCCAAGAGTTGGAAGCAACCTAGGTGCCTATCAGTAAATGAATGGATCCAAAAACTATGGTACATTTACACAATGGAATTCTATGCAGCAGAAAGAAAGAAGGAGCTCCTACCCTTTGCAACAGCATGGATGGAAATGGAAAACATTATGCTGAGTGAAATAAGCCAGGTGTTGAAAGACAAATACCATATGATCTCACCTTTAACAGGAACCTAAACAACAAAACAAACAAGCAAGCAAAATATAACCAAAGACACTGAAACAGAGAACAGCTGGACAGTGACCAGAGGGGAGAGGGGAAGGAATTTCAGGGGAAAAGGGAAAGGATTTACAGGAACTAGTATAAAGGACACATGGACAACAACTAAGGGGGGTGGAAATGGGAGGGAGGTGGGGAGCACTGGGGGGGGCAGGCTAGAATGAGGGTAAAAGACAGAAAACTATACTTGAACAACAATTAAATTTAAAAAAACTCCATCTCATTTCTTATAATGAAAGGGTGATCTTCATTGATGCTAATATATTTTATGCAGTAACATAAAAATTGCCACTTTAGTCATTTAAAGCATACAATTCAGTGGCATTTAAAATAGTCGGTGTTGTGCAATCACTACCACTATCAAGGCTTTAGCACATTTCCATTACCCCAAAGAGAAGCCCCAACACCCTTAAATTATCACTGCCCACTCTCCCTTTCTCCCAGTTCCTGGAAACTATTCATCATGATTTGCACACTCATCTGGGTAGTTTATGTGAACAAAATCACATAAATATGTACAATATGTAACCTTTGGTATCTGATTTCTTTTACTTACCATAATGTTTTTGAGGCTCACCTATGTTGTAGAATGTGATAGTACATCATTCTTTTATGGTTGAATAATATTCCATTATATGATTTACCACATTTCCTTTATTTGTTTATCAGCTGATGGACATGTAGGTTGTTTCCATTTTTGCTTGTTGTGAATAGTGCTGCTATAAACATTGTACAAGTTTTTTTGGACACACATTTCCATGTCACTTGGGTATTTTCCTAAGAATGGAATGGTTGGGTCTGTGGCAACTATGTTTAACCTTTTGAAGAACTGCTAGACTATTTTTAAAGCAGCTGCACCATTTTACGTTCCCACTGGCAATGTATAAGGGTTTTGGTTTTTCCACATCCTTGCCAGCACCAACTTTTCTTTCTTTTTTGTTTTTTTTTTAAATTCTAGTCACCCTGGTAGCTATAGAGTGATATCATTATATTTTTTATTTGCAATTCCCTGATGACTGCTGATGTTGAGCATTTTTTCATGTGATTATTGGTCATTTATAAATCTGTGAATAAAATTTATTCAAATATTTGCCCATTTCTTTCATTAACTGTTTTTTTATTTGTTAAGTTTTAAGAATTTTGTATATATTTTGGGTATAAGTTTCTTATTGGTGTATGATTTGCAAATATTTTATCACATTCTGTATGTTGTCTTTTCTGTTTCAATAGTGTCATTTGAAGCAGAAAAGTTTTTAATTTTGATGAGGTAGAAGTTATCTATTTTTCCTTTTGTTACTTATGACATCTTATCCAAGAAATTCAAGATCGTGAAGATTAGTTCCTATGTGGTCTTCTAAAAAAATCATAGTTTTATAGTTTTATGTGAATATAGATTTTATAGTTTTAGATCTTATATTTAAATGTCAGATCAATTCTTACTTAATTCTTACTTTTTATGTATATTGAGTGAGGTAGAGGTCCAAATGATCTTTTGCAGTTGAATATTGAAAAAAGTATTTTTTTCCCATTGAATGGCCTCAGCACTCTTGTCAAAAATCAAGTGACCAAGAATGTATGGATCATTTTGGATTCTCAGTTCTATCCCATGATCTACATATTTACCCTTATGCTAGGACCACAATTTTAATTACTGTCATTTTGTAGTAAGTTTTGAAATAGGGAAGTGTTGAGTGCTCCAACATGGTTCTTCTTTCTCAAAAATTTTTGGCCATTCTGGGCTCATTGCTATTCTCTACAACTTTTAAAATCACCTTTTCCATTTCTGCAAATAGAGATTGTTGGGACTTGGTGGAATCTATAGATCACTTTGGGAACTCTTGCCATTTTAACAATATTGAACATTCCAGTCCTTGAACATAGGGCATCTTTCTATTTATTTACATCTTCAATTTCTTTCAGCTACATTTTATTCAGTGTATAAGTCTTGTATCCTCTAGGTTAAATTTATTCTTAAGTGCTTCATCATTTTAATGTTATTCTAAATGGAGTTTCACTACAAACATAACTTCAAAAAATTATTAGTAGTAAAAGTCAAAAACAAAAAAAATGGAAGAAAAAATAAAAGAAAAAGAAAACAAGGACAGAGAATAAAAACATTCTACTGCTATTGGTATTCAGTTTGAATTTTTTCCAACATTTCAGTGATCTACTTTTGCACTTATCAAATAAAGTGTATTCCCTTTTAAAGCAAAACAGTAACTTTTTAATCTGTGTATTGATTTTAGAGGGAGAGAGAGAGAGAGAGAAAGAATCTATGTGAGAAACATCTTGGTTGTCTCCCATATGCACCTCAACTAGAAATTGAACCCTCAACATTTTGGTTTACTGGACGAGGCTCCAACCAACTGAGCCACATCCTCCAGGGCAAAAATAATAAATTTTATTATATTTTCTACTCTTCTCTAAATCACTCACTTCAATGTGCACTTTACAGTCTGTGAGGGGTGGCAGTGTTCTAATGACTTATGTAAGTTCACTATCTAATGTAATTATTTGAGAACCTGGGTTCTCCTTTTCCTTGAAACATAATGAGAAAAACACTAGGTAGTTTCAGTGTATAAGAACTCACCTGTCACATAAAGAGTTATTGAGAAGCTTTCAAGGAGTCCAGAAAAAACATTTGCAGAACAGCGGTATGATCCATTGTCGCTAGCCTGTGCTTGATCAAAATACAGAAGATAAACCCTAGTAGTTTTCCTTTCATCCCACTTCATTTTTGTATGAGGTGTTTGCAAAAGAGGTGGACACTTTTCTCCTTCAATCTTGCACCAGGTTGCATTTTGTACATTAGCACAGATATCCACAGGACATTCCAGGTAAAATGATTTTCCTCTAAAGGCTGTGTACACGGAATCTCTCTCAATATGAATATATGGATCACATGATTCTTCCCCTGAAAGATGAAAACAAAATTAAAATCAAATCTGTTCTAGAAGGACCAGATATTTACCACTTCAACAGTTTTTGCTAAATATTTATCTAGCATGATTCTATAATTTTTTGAGATAATATTTTCCAGTACTTAAGCCTCACTATCAGAGTATATGGCATGTGGTAAGCACATAATAACAATTTGTTGAAAAAAACAAATCATTTTATTTGTTCAAAAATATCAAAAATTTCCAAAATATTATAGAATTCTAAAAAATTTTTATTATGTAATTATATTTTAGTTTATTTTTACTTATTTTATTATTTTATAGCTAGTTTAACAGGTAATAAATAATAACAGCATCTTTTGTCAATTACTTATTAAATTTCAAAAACTCTTTGAAATGCACAAGTACTTTAATTCATTTAGTCCTCACAACAAAAATAATATATGACAGTGATTTTCAACTGGTGTAACATACGAGGCACACTGGTGTGCAGCAATAATTTTAAACACATAACACCTGACTGTTTAATCAAGGGCACTGACTTCTTTTCCCTTAGGTTGTCAATTTTAAAACTACACAACATCCAATATTCAATAGCTGTTGGTGTGAATGAATCAAAATTATACCTGTTTTTTGTCAGATTGGCAAAAGATATATATTGTGGTGTGCTGCAGAATTTTGGTAATTAGTTTATGTGTGCCATGAAATGAAACAGGTTGAAATTACTAATATATGTTTTTATTTATATTTTATTCATTATGCTATTACAATTATTCTGATTTCCCCCCTTGGTCCCCTTCCACCTTGCATCCCCCACTCCCTCGACAATCCGCACACCTTTATTCAGGTCTATCAGTGATGCATTAATAAGTTTTTTGGCTACTCCATTTCCTACACTGTACTTAACATCCCCATGGCTATTCTGTAACTACCAACTTGTACTTCTTAATTCCCTTACCTCTTCACCCATTCCTTCTCATTCCTCTCCCAAAAGGCAACCATCAAAATACGCTCCATATTCATGATTCTGTCTTTCTTCTTATGGCTTGCTTAGTTTGCTTTTAGATTCAATTGTTGATAGATATGTATTTGTTGCCATTTTATTGTTCCTAGTTTTCATCTTTTTTTAAATAAGCCCCTTTAACATTTTCTGTGATAATGGTTTGGTGATGACAAATGCCTTTAGTGTTTTCTTATCTGGGAGGCTCTTTATCTGCTCTTTGATTCTAAATGATAGCTTTGCTGGGTAGAGCAATCTTAGCTGTAGGTCCCCACTTTTCATGACTTTGAATATTTCTTGCCAAACCCTTCTAGCCTGCAAAGTTTCTTTTGAGAAGTTAGCTGATAGTCTTATGCGAACTCCCCTGAAGGTAACGAACTGCTTTTGTCTTGCTGCTTTTAAAATTCTCTCTTTATCTTTATCCTTTGGCATTTTAATTATAATGTATCTTGGAGACTGCCTTTTTGCATCCATCTAGTTTGGGACTCTCTGTGCTACCTAGACTTGTACATCTATTTCCTTCACCAAATTAAGAAAGTTGTATTTCATCATTTTTTCAAATAAATTTCCAAATTCTTCTCTTTCTTTTTTCCTTCTAGAACCCCCATGATGCCAGTGTTAGAATGCTTGAAGTTGTCCCAGAGGCTGCTTACACTATCCTAATTTTTTTGGATTCTTTTTCCTTCTTGTTGTTCTGCATGGTTGTTCTTTGCTTCCTTATGTTTCAAATTACTGATTTGAATCTCAGCTTCATTTACTCTACTGTTGTTTCCCTGAAAATTGTTCTTTATTGAAATTAGTGCATGCTTCATTTCTGACTGGATCTCTTTTATGCTGCTGAGGTCCTAAGTTCCTTGACCATCCCTATAACCAGTGTTTTGAACTCTGTATATGATAGATTTCTTATCTCCATTTTGTTTAGTTCTTTTTCTGAAGTTTTATTCTGTTCTTTTATTTGGGCCATGATTCTTTATCTCCTCATTTTGGCAGCCTTTTTGTGTTTGTTTCTAAGTGTTATGTACAGTTGCTTTGACTCCGTATCTTGGTAGTGTGGCCTAGTATAGTCAGTGTCCTGTAGGGTCCAGTGGCACAGCTTCCCCTGTCACCCAAGCTGGGTAGTTGAGGTGCACTCTCATGTGGGATGAGTATACCCTCCTCTTATAGTTGAGCCTTGATTGCTCTTGGCAGAGCAATCTCTTGGGAGAGATTTACCCAGGCCAGTCAGCTTCAAGGACTGGCTGTGAACACTGACTGCCAACCTCTGCCATCCATGGAGGATTAGCTGTTCAGGGACAGGGTTGTGGTACTATGATGTAGTCTGTAGGTGTAGTCTGCATGCTCTGGGACTTACCTAGTGATGCAGGCCAAGGTTAGCTCCCACCTGTGTTCTGCCCAGAGCCACCCTGCATGAGCTATAAAGCAATCTGAGATGGCTGCTACTTGTGCTGGGCTTAGAGGTTCCCAGGCAAAGCCAAAGTGATCCAAAGCTGGCTGCTGCTAGTGCCAGGTATGAGGCTACTTAGCAAGAGGTACAAATCTGAGGGCTCACTGAGGCCAGCTTTTGCTTGTTTGAGAGGATTTAGGAAGTTTTGGAGCATGAGCCCAGACCAGACACTCATATGGAAAAGTCATGCTTAAAAGTGTGGGCCTATAAGTTGGGTGGGACTGAGTCTCAGGGAATCTCCAGGGCAGGGTAAACAATGTTAGCCAGGCTGATGGAGTCTCAGGTATGGTGTCTGCCTGTGTGCTCTGTGGCTCTCTGGGGGGAGGGCTAGAAGAGGAACAATGGATTCTGCCCCCCTTTTTGTCTGGGAGAAAGCTCTCCCCCAGCTCTTGCCCGGATACCAGACACTTCAGTTCTTCCCCATATGTCACTGGTGCCTCTTAAGCTGCTACCCCAGTGCTGGAGGTCAGAAGTAGTCAGTCTGAATAAGTCTGGGTGAGGGTTTTAAGAGGGATTCTAGAACTTTTTCCCATTGACTCAATCCCTATTGGTATTTTGGTGCCAGAAGTTGTGGGTATTTATCTTCCTGGCACTGGAACCCTGGGCTGGGGGGTCTGGTGTGGGTCTGAGACTCCTTGTTCCCAAGATATTTCTCCCAAATTTTCATCCACCACACATGGACATGGAGCCAGCCTATTCCACATCTCTGCCCCTCTTATCAGTCTGCATGAATGTGGTTTTTTAATTCTGTAGTTGTTGGACTTCCATTCAGCTCGATTTCTGATGGCTCTGAGTGATGATTGCTCTTTACCGTAGTTTTAATTTTGATGGAGTTGTGTGAGGAGGTGCACTGTGTTTATCTACACCTCCATCTTGAATGGAAGTCCCCAGTAATACACATTATTATGGCCCTGCATTGTCCATAATGCTTTACCTAGTGTAATGCTCCACCTCCTTCCTATTTCTTTGCTGGCATGAATATGCTTATTTTTAGCTATTTCCTAACATCCAATAAACTTGTCACAATCTCTGCTCATATATCAGCAATCCTTGCTTAGAATAAGTATCACCTGATTGAGTTTTCAGGAATCAGATTGAGACAAGAGACCTACAAAGAACTTTCAGGACCTCTGAATATTTATATATTTATCACTACTCTGAGATCTTAAATAATTTCACTTAAAAACTTCCTAATTCAGTTGCTTCCAAAAATTCAAGAGTAAAAATGAAAGCAAATTGAAGGTCAAGTTATGAGAATGAGGTTTTAAAAAAATGAAGAGAAAGGGTAAGATAATTTACTAAAAGGAAGTGCCAAACAATATAACACCTGGATGTGGTTAGACTTATGACAAAAAAGCAAGGACGCAGAGGCAGAAAGACCAAGTGAAACCTTGTTTCCAGAAGTCCAATGCTCTCCCTAAGGTTATCTCAGCCTCCTAACTTCCCATTTTATTTATTTGGGTAAGTTAATCATAGCTTATGAAGCCTATATCCCTGTGAAAATGGCACTATAGTTACAAAGACGTTCTTCTCTCAAGGAACTTACCATTTAATTGGTGAGACAAAATTAACTAACAACAAGGTCTCTCTTCTGAAATAAATTTTGTCTACCACTCTTTTTACTTCAACCTTACCTGGGCTAAAAGCAAGGCTCAGAGGGATCCTGAAGGAATAAACAAGATATGGTTCCTGTCAACATGGGGCTTGCCTTCCAGTGGAAAAGACAGACACTAGACCGATGGAAGAACAAAATAACATGGTAAAGAGGCGCAAACTTTGCATGGGTGTGCAGAGGATTCACCTCAGCTGGGGCTATTGGGGCAAGGCTTAACAGAAAGGTTGTACTTGAGCTGAACCTTAATGAATGAGTAGATCTTCGATAATTAGAGCAGTCACTGAACACAAGAGGTATTTTAAAACTGAGAAAATGGAAGGGCAAAGACAGCAAGGCCAGGAATCTCATGGCAGTTTCATGAATTAAAACACACTTGGATTGTGGTTTACAGAAATAGTGACATGGAGACCACTAGTCATTTCAGAATAAATGGAATAAGCATTAGGTGGGAGAAGATTAAATTTTCCTTATCAACCTTGACAAAATACAGAGCGTGATTCTTTTGGGATATTTATAAAGGTCATGGAGGTAGCTAAAATTTAGAATTTCATTTGAACATGATTGGTCAAATGCTAACACATTGTGTGATATTGAGATAGCCACCCAGACTCACCGGCACTCCAATTCTTTAAAATAAAATAAAAGGATTGGACAGCAAATAGAAGAAAATTATTACTCACCACCATCTCCTACACAGAAATACATATACAACTTCACCTCCCTCGGTGTGTGGCCCTTACTACAAAATTACTTCTAAGGCTTACTTTCGGTTATAATACGTTAGCTTCCCATTTAGCCATCGAGCTGTCACCCAATGCTAGTAGCACAGATGAAGCTCTCTTGTAGTTTCAGCATTCTTGGACTGTACGCTAGGGGGGAGTGCACAAAGTGGAAGAAAGTTAGCTGTTTGACCTGACCACATCACTGATTTGCAATGAGATTATGGAACTACCCC